ATGCTGTCATTTAGGCCAGGATTGGAGGCTGACGGATTGCATATGTGTTTGTGGGAATCTAAAGATTACTGGATTTGGCGATAAAGTGCATGGAGTAGTTGTGAAGGCTCGATAGATGCGGCGTAAAACTGACCCTACAATCCGCCGTAGAAAATCTGGTTAACACCTTTAACTGTAACTGGGCTTTTAGAAACAGGAATAGTTTGGCCTTGAAGGCAGGAATCACATGTCTGTGTAGGCCGACGATAACGTAATTTGTTAAGAAAAAAGACTGAAGAAAGATGAGACAGAAACAAAAGAAAACATAAATTAATTCCTTTTACTTTTAGATAAATTAAAGACAACTATAGACAAGCTAACAAATGCCTCTAAAAGCTTTTAACTGCTGATTTTTCTACCAATATAAAATGAATAAAAGTAACTAGTGAATTCTATAAAAATGCCTTTATAAAACGTCATCCTCCGACCATTACAAATCCTTAACTAGAAATAATATGTAAAATTGTACTAATATATATATATTGTATATATGTAGTAATCTGTGTATTGATATAGCATGTTTAGTCAGTATAGTGTCCTCTTCACTCTACTGGGGCATTAGGACTCACTGACCACAGGTTAAGTGCCCCCTGCTGGCCTCACTAACACCACTTCCAACAACAACCTAGTTTTGCCATGTGGTCTTCTATCTAGGTACTGACCAGGCACAGCCCTGCCTAGCTTCAGTGAGTAACTGTTCTTGTGCAGGGTGATTTGGCTGTGGCATATTGTAAGTTTGTTTTATTTCATATGACAATTCAACAATACAATTTTTTAAATTAATAAATTTGTCAAGAAAATTGCCAAATGCTTAATTAAGCGCGCATATTTTCATAATTTATTTGTATTTGTATTAGAATAAAATTAATTTGTTTGATTATTTCCTACCAATAAAAAAAATATATTAACAAACATTAAAAATTACAGACAAATATGTTCAAATGTAATTATAAGCAAAGTTTTATAAACTCATGTCAAGAGGAGCATGTGATATAATAGAGCATGGCGGGATTGTCATCCATAATCAGCAATAATCCAATCAGATTGATCCAAGCTTATGATAAATAGGCTGATTTTACCCTACTGCCTAATCTTCATTTTAGAAGAATCCCTCTTTCCACCCCATCTACTCCTTTTCCTCCCATTTCTAAGGGAAGCTCTTGAGATCTACCTTATCTCTAACCCCCTTTATATTAACCAGGCGGCAGCTTTTGGCTTGATTATTAGAGTTCTCTCGGGACAGCATGCCAAACTTGCTATTAATGCTAAACAATTAAAAGTGTGAACTCTTGAAGCTTATTTAATTACGGATGACGATTCTAAAGAAACACTGGATAAATGAATAAAGGCAATGTGGAGTTTGCATGTTCTCCCCGTGTTGGCATGGGTTTTTTCCGGGTGCTCCGGGTACCCCCATAGTCCAAAGACATGCGCTATGGGTGAATTGAATAGGCTAAATTGTCCGTAGTGTATGGGTGTGTGATGTTTCCCAATAATGGGTTGTGGCTGGAAGGGCATCCACTGTGTAAAACATATGCCAGAATAGTTGGCGGTTTATTCCATTGAAATAAAGACTAAGGAAAATGAATGAATGAAAGGCACAAACTTGTCTGATAATGCTATCATTCTGTAAGTCAATACACTTTCATAGCAATACACATGCTTAGCACACTTCAAAGCTGTGCTTCTTAAACAAACTATAGAAGAAATGCTAGTGAGAAAAAAAAAAGTTGAATAAGAGAAAACGTGATTCACGCCGGCCAGAAAATGAATAGAAATTGCACCTTAAAACAGCATTAACAACTTATGAGGCCCATTCATTAAGTGGCTGGGTGTTAATCCATCACTGCGAGAGAACCATGAAGGACGTCCTCTTACAGGCCCTGGCAGGAATAATCACACGTTCCTCAAATTAAAATTCAGAGGAGGCTCCATGTATCAGAGAGGCCATGAGATAATAAAGGCAAAGCAGGTAATAATAAATAGAATGAGAGTCATAAATACCCCAGCGAGCGCCACTACAGACTCGTGTTTGACAGTATCGAGACGGCGGGTAAATACGTGCTGTTTATCCATTTGACCTGACACTTTCAATGAAGACGAGGAAGGAATGGGATGACGGGATGAAGAAAGACCGCCATTAAGACTGCTGAAGATTCAGTGTGACTATATATTGTACACACATGAAAAAGCATGCGTTCTGTGAATCATGATAGTTCACACACAAAAAAAGCCCACATCTGTGAAGCTACTCAACCTCGGGCAATCAAATGGAGGTGATTTCTTCATCCAGTGGAACACTGAATAAGGTTTTGTTTTAAGCTTAAACTGTTGTGATTAAACGAAATGTAATTAAATGGATACCAGCAGATAAATAAACATACAGCCAAAGAAATTGTGTGGTTCCGGATAATACAAAAGAGAAAATTATTGACATTATAATTACTTTTAAAGGCGGCACAGTGGCTCAGTGGTTAGCATTGTTGCATCACAGCAAGAAAGTCACTGGTTTAAGTCCTATCTATGCCAGCTGGCATTTCTGTGTGAAGTTTGCATGTTCTTCCAGTGTTGGTGTGTGTTTCCTCTGGGTGCTCTGCTACAGTCCACAGACATACACCAGGGGTGTCCAAAATCTGTTCTGGAGGGCCGCTGCCCTGCATAGGTGTCCGTGGAAGTTTCTAGTATATCTAGAAAGAGCTTGATTAGCTGGTTCAGGTGTGTTAACTGGGCTTGGATCTAAAATATGCAGGACACCGGCCCTCCAGGACATATGGACACCCTTGACATATGCTACAAGTGCTACAAGTGTGTGTGTGTAAATGTGAGAGTGTATGGGTGTTTTCTAGTACTGGGTGAGCATCCACTGCGTAAACAAATGTAGCGTAAAAAAAAAAGAAAAAGTTGGTGGTTCATTCCGCTGGGCGACCCCTGACATTTAAGGGGCTAAGCCGAAGGAAAATGAGTGAATGAAAATATGAAATTAACCTTTAAGCCTTAGCCTTGACTGATGGTTTGGGAGTCATGTTTGATTCCAAAATGAATCATTTTTTGAATCAACTCTTCTTAAAGAATCAAGTGAACCAGTTCACTGATCTGATTGAACTGTCTTAAACAGTTTACAGCACAGATTCACAAGCTATAAACTGAATCAAAATCACTTTCGGACAAGCCTGACAGTCAATCTGACTCGAAGTGAGCACATTTACTGGAGCGTACGCATTTGGTAGATGCTTTTATGCAAAACGAGTTACATTTCATTGAAGATTCACATTTCAGAATTAAAATTCTGCAATACTAGTGCAAAAACTTTTCTGAGATGGCCAAATAAAGTGCATAACAATGCGCATTACTAAACAAAAACTGATCTAACAAACTGATAATTGTTTTGATATATTTACAGCAGAAACACGATCTTTACTAAATATTCTAAAGATTTTTCAGCATTTTGGGTATTGCAAAATAGATTTAAGGTATTGCAACTCAAAGGTCCTGTGAAGTGTTTTAAAATGTTCATTTGTATTCAATGTTTGACAATTTCAACTGAAATAAAGACAGGGTGGGACAGACAAGCCTCTTCCCTTCTTAAAAAAGAGGTTGATCTCAAGAGTATAGCAGTAGTGTGTTAAAGGGAGCAAGACATTTCAGATACTACAGAGCATTTGATTGGGCAGAAGATTTGATAAGAAACTGAATATGATGTAACAAGAATAAATGTTTTGCATGTTTAAATCTTCTTAATGCAAATTTTGTCACTGTTTTTGTATCCCTAAGACTGATACTAACATCTAAAAAATGTGCTTTTAATTTCACGAGAACTTTAAGATTGGTTTATTTGCCCAGGGTAAGTCACATATTTGGATATCATGACGCTGCCCTCTTCAGACAGCCATCACCCATGTTAATCATAATCGACCGAGCGGGACTTTTCACACACATGATGTGTCTTTCAAGATGTTATTGTCTTGAACTCAATGAATGACAATCACCATAGACCTTCCTTTCAAGCCTCACAGGTTAAGTAAAAATCAATAAACATATAATCACGGATCAGTGTGTTTCTAAGCTTCTTGTAAAACAGATTCTGATAGGTCAACATGCCATTCATCCCATGCTAAGTACAGCACTTGAGTCACTTTTTAGTCTTTTCACCCGCACTGTAAAAAACTCTGGATTCAACACAATTTTTTTTGTGCTGGATCAACATGAAGGAATTAAGTAAACTTTGTAGATTTCACAAATTTAAGTTGATTGAACATACAAAAATCACAGTTGTCCAAAAAACCTCTCAAAATGTTGTTTAAAAACCTCTCTAGTGTTGTTTAAGTTCATTTTAAATAAGTACTGTAGTGTGATTAAGCAACAAACGTCATTTTTCTGAGTGCACTAAAGACAATCTTTTACAACGTCATCGTGTTCGCTATAGTCTCAGGACCCAGTCACCATTTAAACCATTTATAAATGATGAAGCACAGTCAGAATCATAATCTGAGATCAGGCATATAAACATTACAATAATGACTGTCAAAAGCATAACAGCACACTGTGAGTATATTAGAGCTCTTTGTTGTCCATGTTATGGCATCTGATAGAGAGGCAGGACTCAGAAAGTGACAAGTGATGTCAAACCTAACAAGTGGATTTTTAGGTCTTGCACAAGTTGCCTAACCTCACTGCTTAATCGTTCACAGTTGGAGTCATCTGTGAAAGACCAGAAGTCATGTCTGCAGAGGTTCTGCTACTGAAAACTGACCTCTGCAATCTGGGCTCTCAGCAGGGTGTTTCAGTAACACGGATGAGCCGTGAAAGAGACTTGCTGAGACCCTGTGTGTGTGTGTGCGTGTGGTGACAGAGTCTCCCTGGGCATCTTGGGTCACTAATAAGGAGATGTTTATGCAGAGTGTGTCAGAATCTCTGTCTCTTTCCCCTCTTTTCCTTCCCTTCTCTGTTTTCAATTATTTACATTTTTTTTTTTTTTTTTTTTTACGAAGGAGAGAGGAAGAGCGGGGGGGAAATATGAAGAAATAAGTAGTCAAGCTTTTGGACGTTTCTGGATGCCGTGCTGCACTTTTCTCAGAAACATCATGCATATTTAAAGTTAATAAAGCCTATTCCTTACCTTTTATCCAGACTTTTTAATGTTGGGAGAGCAGGGAACATCAGAGTGCTGCTGGATGTGTCCTCAGGTTCAGTGTGATGGAGCAGACCTCGAAACACACACACACACACATACCATCATTACACTAATGACATAAAAACAGCACCAAATAATAAAGCGCTGCTTTTCAGAGTGGACCGGGGTGATAATAGGCATCATGTTTTAGCTTTGGTGTCTGTTAAGTTTTGTGGAGCTTTTAGGTTTTCATGCAGTATTTATGAAAGCGCAGATTGACAGAGAAGCAAAACATGAGCAACTTGTTAATGCTCTAACTTGAAGATCAGAGCTGTGGCACAACATATTTTTGTCACTCTCTTCGATCTAAAAAAGCATAACAATTAAAATAAAGACTTAGATCCATTCGTAAATGAAAAAGTAATGGGATGGACATAAAATATTTAAAGCCAGTGTACATAATTATAACTTAACATACGAAACAAAACAAAATAAAACAAAACAAAAAATGAAACAAGCAAATCGAAATAAAAAACAAAACAAAAAACAAAAAAAATTTAAAAAGCAAAACGAAAACAAAACTAAACTAAACAAAACAAAAAAATGAAACAAGCAAAACGAAACGAAATAAAACAAAGCAAAAATAAAACAAAGAAAAACAAAAAGTAACAAAACGAAACAATATAAAACAAAAACAAAACAAAAAAATCAACAAAGCAAAACAATCAAAGCAAAACAAAGAAAAACACAACAAATCAATTTTTGTTTAAAATAAAATCTAAATAAAGGTTGATTTACACTTTCGTCTAACGCTGCATAACAGACCTCTGTTGAGTGTGTGCGTACCTTGTGAAACGGATGAGACTTTTATACTTGACGCTTTCACTGTTGAGATATTTATTAAAGTAGCAGGGTGCGGTCAAAAGAAATCGATTGCAAAATCAGATGAATAAACATTAAAGGAGGAAGTTTCCGGAAACAACATTTAAGTTTTTTTTTTTACAAATTATTTTTATTATTTTAATGATCATAAAGATTTTTATAACCATTCAAGGTTTTTTTTTTTTTTTTTTATCAAACTTTGGTGCATCACTTGCTTTTGTTCATATCTTGAACAGTTTTACTTATTAAAGATTATTAAAACTTTAATGACAACAGAACATGAGTTGCTATATCAAGTTAAAGTCAGAATTATTAGCCCCCTTTAAATTTTTTTCTCTTTTTTTTAAAATATTTTCCAATAGATGTTAAACAGAGCAAGGACATTTTCACAGTATGTCTGATAATATTTTGAGTTCTGGAAAAAGTCTTATTTATTTCATTTCAGTTAGAATAAAAGCAGTTTTTCATTTTTTTAAAAAACATTTTAGGGTCAAAATTATTAGCCGCTTTAAGCTATAAATTTTTTCGATAGTCTACACTACCACCACCTGAGTCTCCACTTTTACCGTGGCCTTTCTTTTTTGGCTTTAACAAACTTTTATCCCTCAGGATTTTCTAAAACTTTCCTTTCCCATGGCTATTGCAATTTCTAGCCAGAAATTATTGGTCGTCTGGTTATCCCTATGATTACGCATAGACGGATCATAAAGATGTCTGTACAGGCATACCAAAATCTCTTCAAAGTGACTCATATTCAACCTAAATGAAACAAGGCACTGGATGAACTTTTTGCTTGAGTATCAAAACATTTTGTGTGCTCCATCAGCCAAAATCTTGTTGTGCGCACCCTAAGCAAACCTCCAAAAGCACCACGATGATGCCACATGCACATTCACTCTGTGCACTTAAGCGAACGCATCAAGTATAAATCAGCCTTAAAATATTTTCTTCAAAATAGAATAATACATTTAAAGTACTGTTTCTGCTAAGGAAGTATTAAAAGCTTTAGAATTATAATATTAACAATTTTAGAGGCCCAAATATGTTTTCAAATGTGACAGTCCGATAATAGCAGTGTTGTGTATGACTTGTGTTCACCTTTTGTGTTTGTCAGGTACAGTGGTAGGGAGTTTGACTGAGTTGGTCATAAATCAGGGCCGGCGTGGCTGGATTCCGACAGGCTGCTATGGCTTTATCTGCTGAACAGCTTTCATCCTCTCCAGTCCGTTTATGCATATCCGCTGGATATCCCACCTCCAGAGCGTCCAAAGCTCGGGCTCAAGGCCTCTCCAAACCCACGGTCCTCCCAGAGATCCCTTCCCTTCCATGCTTAATTGATTCTGCTGGGGTGTCAAAAAAAAGAGAGATATATATCTCATCATTTATTTAGGAAAGCTTTGATATGGGTGATATTTAAAAAGGGTTAATATATATATAAGGCTTAACCTCGTGGGTGGCTTTAAAATTTCATGAACAACTATCTGAAATATAAAAAAGAAATAGTTTGCAATTTTTCAAAAATGTCGTTTTTTGAGAAGCGCAACTTGATCGTGAACTGACTCACAAGTTACAGTGTGAATGCAGAGTACTGCAGTTAAAAAGTGCTTTAGAAGGGCAAAAAAAAAAGTTTTAAGTCAGTATGTTACCCATTCTGCTTTATTGCGACATTTCCTGAAGGAACAGAATAGGGCATTTTATCCAGCAGTAAATGACTGGATCTACACATCTGTACATCAACCCATGCATATACTGTTATCCATTAACTATCTACACTGTATAATGTTTCCAACCCATTATCCATTTATTAAAAGTACCTACTGCATGTATATAACAATCCACCTCTCAATTTCCCATATATCTAGCTGTACATCTACAGCATCTATTCATCCATTTAAGAATTTACCTATGTATCCACCAAATCATTCTTCATCCCACATTAATCCATCCACCCATCCATCCATCCATCCATCCATCCATCCATCCATCCATCCATCCATCCATCCATCCATCCATCCATCCATCCTGTATATTTACTCATTTATCCTTTTACCTATTAATCAATCAATCTATCTATCTATCTATCTATCTATCTATCTATCTATCTATCTATCTATCTATCTATCTATCTATCTATCTATCTATCTATCTATCTATCTATCTATCTATCTATCTATCTATCTATCTATCTATCTATCTATCCTTCATTCATAAACCAATTTAATGCAATAATCTACTCATCCAACCTTTTATCCATATATCCACCATCCATCCATCCCTCCATTTACCAAATATCTATCTATCATTCATCCATATAACTATCCAATAATCTACTCATCCAACCTTATCCACCCATCCATCCATCCATTCATCCATCCATCCATCCATCCATCCATCCATCCATCCATCCATCCATCCATCCACCTACTCATTTAACATATATCTATCTACCCATTCACCAATATACCTCTCAATAGATTCATCTACTCATCCAACCTTTTATCCATCTATCCATCCATCCATCCATCCATCCATCCATCCATCCATCCATCCATCCATCCCCACATTTACCCTATATCTATCTACCTAATCATTCATATATGTATCAAACCATTACTCATTCAAACTTTTTCCAACCCATCCATCTATACATGTACATCCATTTACCCCATATATATCCATACATTAATTGATATAACTATCAATCCATTAATCTACTCATGCAACCTTTTATCCACCAATCCAACCATCCCCCCCATCTACTTTATATAACGCATTTCTATCCATTCATTCATATACTTATCAATCCATTTATCTACTCATCCAACCTTTGATACATCCATCCCCGCAGCCCAACTATTGTATCTACCCACCCATCTACACATCTATCTAGCAACTTATCTATCTACCAATCAACCATCGACAGTATCCATCCATTCATCCACTCACCCAAGCTCCCATCTATTAATCTTTTTATTTCTCCATCTAAACACCAGCAGAGGTAATCTTTTTAGTTCTTGGTCTCAACCACCATTGATTTCAGATCTCAGACTCTCCGTTTGGCCTTCAGTCTCCTGACGTAACGTGCCTGTAATCACGAGCACAGAAAGGGGAAAAGGAGATCGGAGGAAGGTGGAAGCGCAGGGACAGCCTCGGCCCGAGATGCTGTGGAGAGCGAATGGGGAAAGGCAGCAGGCTTCAGCCCCCAGCATATTCATAAATCAGCTCTTTCAGGAGCTGTCAGCCACTCCATAATGAGGGTTATTATTCAGCTCGGGTGTCAAAGTTACTATCAAAGGACCGTCTCTGGAAGGCCCTCTCACTCTGCTCCTTGTTAAATAAACAGCGGCGTACACAAAATGGCAAACAAGACGTGGGTCAACCTGATACAGAGCGGGGCCACGCGGGCCTCTGGAGTAATTTACCCTCCGGGAATAGACGACTGGGGAGATGGATGATATCGGGCCTTTCAGAAAGATTTATGGAGAAAGAGGACAACAAAAAAGACGAAGTGGACGGAGATGTTGGATAGGTAGATGGAGGATAAGAAAAGATGTAATCACATCTCTCCAAGCTGAAATGTTCAGTACATTTGGACCCTAAGATTTACCCCAATTATCTATTTGCGCATTTCAATGAAGCAATCCATCTTCAATTTGCATATGATGGAGAGGTACATCTCTCAAACATGAAGGTATTAACAATATTGCTCTTCAGTACACTTGAACTCTAATATTTACCCCAATTACTGTGCATGTTAACACATTTACACAATGCAACTAGCTAGAAATTCATAATAGAACCATAAAACCGACTGCTTGCCTATACTACGCCATAAAATAAAGTTAAACGAATAAGCTATCAAAATTGCCGAGCTTCTACAACTGACAGCAAAATTCCCCACATCACTTGACCTCTCATTGATAACAGTCTAATATTAACCCTCTAAGAATATATGCTTTAAAAAATTCATTCTCTTTATTACTTTGTTAATATCAGACAGTGGCCTCGGAGCTGAGGGTAGTATTAATTTTGAATACTTGAAGGGGGCAGAGGAGACGAGGGGGCGAGAACTGAGCTGTATGGCAAATGAAAGGGCTAATCTCTGTTTAACATTAACAAGAGCTCCACACATCCAGAGAGGAGCAAGATTATAGCTCTCAACGTGGGACTCGCGGGTTATGGCTGCACTGAAATACTTGTCTGAATATTAAAAACTGAAGTGCGTTGATGCACAGTGGGTTACGGGAGTAACTTATTATAACATACGTTTTATAATAACATTACCATTATTAAATATAAGAAATATTTCATTATGATCAGTCATATTTTTCATAATAATGACTAAATAGTTTAATTATCTAGTGCTAGTTGACCAAATTGATAAGAGTTTAACACGACACCCGTGCAATATATTAAATGTACACTACATTAAATAATATTAAGTGATAATATAATATAATATTAAATAATGTAATATAATATAATATAATATAATATAATATAATATAATATAATATAATATAATACAATATTAAGTGATAATATTAAATAATGTAATATAATATAATATAATATAATATAATATAATATAATATAATATAATATAATATTAAGTGATAATATTAAATAATGTAATATAATTTAATATAATATAATATAATAAATATAACATAATACTAAGTGATAATATAATAATATATTAAGTAATAATATAATATAATATAATATAATATAATATAATATAATATAATATAATATAATAAAAATATTAATTAAATTATATTTACTATCATGGTGTGCAGGTGTTATAGAAAGCAAAATAAATAAATAAAAATTTAAATTACTATTAAAGTGAAGTTAGTATAATTTTTGTCTGTTCTGAAAATAGGAATTAACTAAAAAGCTGCTTAAAATATTAAATAAAAAAGCATGAGGGTGAAACAAACCATTCTTTATACACCGAGAAAGGCTTTATGATATGATTATATTTAGTTGACTTCTTGGGTGGTGAAATCAATTAGATGCCACATTGAGTAAATGAGAGGAAATCGCTGATAGTTGCAGGCCATTCCTCAAATTGTCATAATTACCACAGCCAGAGGGGTCACCACCAATGAGTCTGTTCAAGGACAAAAAAAAAAGAGAGCAATTTCCCCAGAAGGAAGAGGAAGAGCTTTTTGTGTGCAAAGACGAGAGCAACTCTAAACAGCGAGTCGTCGTCGACGCGGGCATTGATTTTCATCTCACCTACCTGAAGGCAACAGATTAATCTTTTACATCTGTGAGTTTTAGACAGGCCTTCACGCTGTGCGAAAAATCACCAACGTACCCCGATACCAATTAATGATATTGTCATTTCAGTGGCGGGACACTGTGTGTTTGTCAAAGTATCTCTGCCATGGTAATTTGCTCCATCTGTTCTGGTACTAGTGAAGAAAGCTGAAGTATGCGATGCGTTTAAGCTCGATAATGTGTCATGTGACTGGTGGGCCCGTGTCTGGTGGACATGAAGAGAACATATGTTGTCTTCCAGCCCGCGGGCTGACATTGAAGATGAGAAAAGACAGTACTTCAAGGCAAATGCCGTCCCTGAAGAAAGCCTGCCAGAACCTATATGGCTCAGTGTATTGACAAATCTCTTGTGGACGCCGCAGACATGGAGGTTTACGCTACTAGTCCCTTTCAGTCCCCATTGCTGTGATGAGAAGGACTGAAGTCTTCAAAACAGGACCGTCCCAGGGTGACTTCGGGGGGAGGCAAGATGACACGCTGAATGACACTATGTGGGGCCAAAGGTAAAGCAGGTTTAAACTGAATTAAGCAACAAAAGATTGCATAAGCTTCACTATATCTAAATTTAATCCTGTTTAACTTGTTTATTACGCACTAGCGGTTTAATTGCAGTGCTGAGGTGAGACTTTGGCCTGAAAGATGGATGGTACAGAGATAGACTCCTGCCATTTGAGACTGCAAAATAGACCAGAACCACAGATGATGAATGACGACTCAGAACCTTCACTTTTCCCATAGGAAACCATCTTGTAGAAAAGATGACAACCAACCTTTACAGCTTCCTAACGCCTCATCTAGACTGACTCCAAAAAATCTTCCAAAAGGGGGCTTTTACAATGATGCAATTGAAGAAACATTTTAGATTCCCCAAAGAACCTTTCAGTGAACAGTTCTTAAAGGACCATTGCTTTTTTTCTGTGGTGTGTTCATGTACAGAGTTTAATTTGTTCTTTTTAAACCAACCCAAAAGAAAAAATATACATTACAGAAGCTAAAGATTGAGGATCCAAACTATTTTATGGACACATTTTAGATGTCTTTGGTAAAAATTTTCAATGATAGTTTGTCATAGTAGAGTTTGTTTGGAAGCAAACAGAGTAAATTATACCAATTTATCGGTTATATCAGCTATAAGATTTCAGTGTGAGCCTACATTTCCACATTGATGCATCTCTAGGTGGTTTTAATCAAACACAACATGTAATTAGGCTCTGAAAAATTAATATCAACATTTTAATTAATAGGCCTGTTTATCGGTTATCGGCTTACAAATATAGACTTATCGGTTTCTGGTATTAGCCAAATGTTCTATACTGGTGCATT